AGAGAGAGAGAGAGAGAGAGAGAGAGCTTGCTACTCACCGATATATTCCTCGTATCCTGTAACGACATATAGTACACACGGTTTCTGTGGAGGGAAAGGAAAACAAATTAAACCAAAAACAAAACAAACAAAAAATAAATCATGAAAATGAAATCACGTATCTTCGAGACGACTGGGGGACAGAATTCTGATATCTGATGTGAATTCAAAATTTGAAACTGTCAAAACAAATATGAATAGAACAATCAGTGGAAAGGAATGGTAATAAATAAGAAGCCAAAAAAACGAGTTTTCGTTTTGGGGTTCTTTTTTTATCGGATGAAAATCAGGTACGTCTTCCATTCTCAAACGCTCTGCGGTAGGAAATACAACCGACTGGAATAGCAAGAGGTTTTTTTAATAAGGTTTTGAACGAGTTTTACGGCCCTTGAAACACAAATAGGTCCTATAAGTGCTGAAGATTAGAATTAGAGGCGTCAATAAAAGAGAGTCGTATACACAGAAAAGAAAGAGGAGAGATAGACAACCAGACACCAACTATACAATTTATATTTAGACACTCGATTAACCCCGGAAAACAACTCGCCCTTGAGAAAACCATTGTTTGGTGTGAGGCAAAAGTTGAAAGTAGTGCGTGGGTGCACGTGCACTTACTTGGCTCCAACAAATGCCTTGTCGTCCTCTACCAGCAGGAGTTTGAACCCGTCATCCTCTGACGTCAGACCTTCAAACACTTGAGCGCTCGGACTCTGGGCCGCTGCAAATACAGAAACATTTTAAAAATACAGTTAAGACAAATATGCCGGTGGGAAGTATAAGTTTGCAGAACGGACTAGATCTAGAACATCTCCATTACAAATTAACAAGATATTTCATGATCTAACTTTTCATAAGTTTTGAAAGCACTTGCCTGTAGGCACGATGAGAACATAAGAGAAAGGATCAGCATAGAGAAGATCAGACATAAATCATGCATAAAAAATGACATTGTCCTGATCAATTACCAGACAACAAATTCATGATGTTATAAAATAGCCAATTTATTTACGAGACAAAAATCAGCTATGTAACTAGAGCGCCAGTTGAGAAATGTTTTATAAATCAGAGGGCCTCCCGGGCAAAAGACGAACTTTGATAGATTCAGATTTTTTTCTTTTCTTTATTTTAAGTTCGGGGCAAAGCCCTCCAGTCATTCTGCGTCAAATAAATTTGAATACGAACTCAAGCAGAGATCGCACAAAAAGAACGAATAGGAGCAAAATTTAACAACGCAGAGAAGTCACGAAGGCAGAGTGACAGGTGGACAGACAAACAGACAGACGGGCGGACATTCTGATAGAGAGATAAACAGAAATCTGACCGAAAAAAACCCAAACATGAGAAAGCGTGGAAGGCCTTGGGGA